GGGGGGGGGCGCCGGGGGGGGGGGGGGAGCCACAGCAGAGGGGCACACAGACCTTGGGTGGTATCGCCTAGAAGCAGGACCCTCTCCTCCGCCACCAACACAGGATCCCGGGAGCCCCCTCGGCGGGCGGCCCAAGGGCCCTTCGGGGAGCTGCTACCTTGGAAGAGGCTGGGCAGCAAGGGGCAGAGCTCTGGGCACCTCTCGGGCCGGGCCCCCGGGGCTCTCTGGTCCAGGGGGTAGGAGCCGTGCCTCCTCACCGGCGCTGCGGCCCGGGGTGGGGAGTCCGAGCGCGCGCGCTTCCGGCAGAAGAAGTCCATGGGGCGAGGCGAGGCCTGCACAGTGGGGAGAGAGAGGCTCAGTCCCAATCACATTGCTCACTCCCCCCGGGGGCTGGCCTCTCGATAGCTGGGGTGCCTCCTGCCATCCAGCCCCACCCCCCAATGCAAGGCACACAAGCTAGGCAGGGGCTGGCTGGGCAGATCCCTGGGTTGGGGCCAGAGCAGCCTCAGCTCCTCCCAGCTCCACACCCACACTCAGGCCCAGGCTCTGCTCAGGCCCCCTCTGCCACATGGGGTCCCGGGGAGGTACCCCACCCAGAGCTCCACCAGGCAGCTGGGGGGAAGGGCAGTCCCTGTGTACTCTGGGATCAGGACCAGCTAAAGAGCTCAAACAAGGGCAAAGAAGCCGAGGGGAACCCTGCTGCAGGCTGCAGAGCAGGCCAGTGGCAGCGCCCTGGTGTGTCTGCCTGGGCCAGCGCTCCCAAGGCCTGTAGACTCTTACCTGCAGGATCCCAGCACCCAGGGAGGTCAAGAAGCAACAGCTGCTCCCACTTGCAAATAAATAACCTGCAGGCTCCTGCCGAGTGGCTGCTCCCAAAGGCTGCACCTGGTTTGCACCCAAAGGAGCAGATTGCAGCAGGGCAATGAGGACTGTCCTGGGCTGCCCTGGCTCCCTGCATCCCTGCATCGTAACTAGGGGCAAGGGCAGACTTCTCAGCACAAGCCCATTCCCAGTTTGCAAGCTTGGGAGGGGCACTTGTGGAGGGTTTCCCTTGGGGCCAGACTGCAAACAGGAGGCCTTGAGCCCCAGCAGCAATCCCAACTCAGTTCTATCCCAGCTGCCTGCAGCGGCCGGGTGGGCTGAACCCTGGGGACCTCCTCTGTGCTTGGAACAGAGCCAGGGGCTGAGAAGTTCTCAGACCCGGGGGAGGAAGGGGCAGGAGGGGTGCCAGGCAATGGGGATACCCCCGGACTCACGCTGCCTGCTGCTGTCAGGGCAGAATTGCCCAGGGAGGAGACTAGAGATGCTGAGTCTCTGCGGAGAGGGATAGGCCAGGCCCCTCTGCAGAGTTTGGTTGGGGAGGCAACTTTAACCATGATTCCTGGGGCTACTTGCAAACTCTAGGGCTGTGTCTACATTGGCAAGAATTTGCACAAAAGCAGTTGCTTTTGCGCAAAATCTTGCCGCCTGTCTACACTGGTCACGAGTATTTGTGCAACAACACTGACGTTGTAATGTACAAAGTCAGTGCTTCTTGTGCAAATATTCTGATGCTCCCGCTCAGGGATAAGTCCTCTTGTGCAACTGTTCTTGCGCAAGAGGCCAGTGTAGACAGGTAACATCAATTTCTTGCGCAAGAAAGCCCGGTGGCTAAAATGGCCTTCGGAGCTTTCTTGCGCAAGAGAGCATCTACATTGGCACGGATTCTTTTGCGCAAAGGCACTTGCCAGTATAGACACTCTCTTGCGCAAATACTTTTAACGGAAAAACTTTTGCATATGGGCTGTGTCTAGACTGGCCAGTTTTTCCAGAAAATCAGCCGCTTTTCCGGAAAAACTTGCCAGCTGTCTACACTGGCCGTTTGAATTTCCGCAAAAGCACTGACTTCCTACTGTAAGAAATCAGTGCTTTTTGCGGAAATACTGTGCTGCTCCCGTTCGGGCAAAAGTCCCTTTTTGCGCGAAACTTTTATGCAAAAGGGCCAGTGTAGACAGCTCAGATTTGTTTTGTGCAAAAAAGCCCCGGTCGCGAAAATGGCGATCGGGGCTTTTTTGCGCAAAAGTGCATCTAGATTTGCCATGGACGCTTTTCTGCAAAAAGTGCTTTTGCGGAAAAGCGTCCATGCCAATCTAGACGCTCTTTTCAAAAAATGCTTTTAACAGAAAACTTTTCTGTTAAAAACATTTCCGGAAAATCATGCCAGTCTTGATGTAGCCTAAAAGTATTTGCGCAAAATCACGCCAGTGTAGACGCAGCCTAATTCTCTGGCAGAGAACTGAGCAGCTAGCTGACAGGAGCCCTGTATCTAATTCCTGAATCAAAACAAATAAATGTTAGACCTGCTCAACTCTAATAAGAGCATGTTCTGTCACCTTGTGGCAAGTCACTTAAAGGCAGAGGTGACAGTGTGCGGGTGGCTAGAGCTGGCTAAGTTGTGGCAAAAGCAAGCAGGGGGCTGTTTAAAGAGCTGGCAGGGACCCAGGCTGCAATAGGACAATACCTGTAAGAAATACTAATATACTGTCCACGCTGCCTAAAGGATACCGCTGGGGTTAGAATTTGACTAGACGCTCTCTGTGTTACTCCCACAGCAGAAGGAGAGACCCCATCAGAGCTCCTGGGTTCTAGCTCAGGTCTGGGAGTGAGGTAGGGTCTAGTGCAGGAGTCTCAAACTCCCAGCCCATGGGCCAGTCCCAGGCAAAGTAAGTGCCCAGTCCAGTCCGGGACCCCCAGTGGGTCTGTCTGTTACCAGCCCTGCCCCTTCCCACCATCACCCCGCCCGTTCACCACATGGAGCCCTGAGCATGTGGCTTTGGGGATCGCTAGGGGGTCCTGATGCTGTGCAGTGGTAGCGATCGCCAGGGCTCGCCAGTCTGCGTTCTGCACATGCACAGATCGCTCTGCACTGGCTCGTCCGGGTCGTAATCTACTCGCCACGGGCCAGTCGATTACATTATTGGTTGAGCCCTGGCGATTGCGCCCCCCACACTTTCCATGGCAGCAGGTTCTTTGGCGCACAGCAGAGTGAGTGTGCCTGCCCTGTGTGCTCGCCCGCCCTGTGTGCTCCATTCCCCCTGTGGCTCATGCAGCTGTGGGGAGTCCAGAGAAGCCCCCAGGGATCACCAAAGCCTCATGCTCAGGATATAGGGTGCCATGGGGAGAGAGAGCAGGGTGATGGTGGGAAGGGGCGGAGCTTGGGGGCCGGTAATAGACAGCCCCCTCCTGGAATCCTGGACTGTTTACCTCCTTTTTTGAGGCATAAGGATCTTGCGCAAAAAGGGGGGTTTGTGCAAAACAGACCCATCTACATGGCTTGTTTTTGCACAAAAACTTCTTGCTGCTGACTCATATTCAGCTTGTGGTCCACTATAACCCCTAGATCCCTTTCTGCCGTTCTCCTTCCCAGACCGTCGTTTCCCATTCTGTATGTGTGACACTGATTGTTCCTTCCTAAGTGGAGCACTTTGCATTTGTCTTTATTAAACTTCATCCTGTTTACCTCAGACCATTTCTCCAATTTGTCCAGATCATTTTGAATGATGACCCTATCCTCCATAGCAGTCGCAACCCCTCCCAGCTTGGTATCATCTGCAAACTTAATAAGCGTACTTTCTATGCCAATATCTAAATTGTTGATGAAGATATTGAACAGAGCCAGTCCTAAAACAGACTCCTGCGGAATCCCATTAGTTATACCTTTCCAGCAGGATTGTGAACCATTAATAACTACTCTCTGAGTACGGTTATCCAGCCAGTTATGCACCCACCTTATAGTAGCCCCATCTAAGTTGTATTTGCCTAGTTTATTGATAAGAATATCATGCAAGATCATACCAAACGCCTTACTAAAGTCTAGGTATATCACATCCATCGCTTCGCCCTTATCCACAAGACTCGTTATCTTATCAAAGAAAGCTATCAGATTGGTTTGACATGATTTATTCTTTACAAATCCACACTGGCTGTTCCCTATCACCTTGCCACCTTCCAAGTGTTGACAGATGATTTCCTTAATTACTTGCTCCATTATCTTCCCTGGCACAGAAGTTAAACTAACTGGTCTGTAGTTTCCTGGGTTGTTCTTATTTTCCTTTTTGTAAATGGGCACTATATTTGCCCTTTTCCAGTCTTCTGGAATCTCTCCTGTCTCCCATGATTTTCCAAAGAAGATTGCTTGAGGCTCAGATACCTCCTCTATTAGCCTCTTGAGTATTCTAGGATTCATTTCATCAGGCCCTGGTGACTTGCAGGCATCGGGAATAGTGACCATAATATAATAACATTCAACATTCCTGTGGTGGGAAGAACACCTCAGCAGTCCAGCACCCTGGCATTTAATTTCAAAAAGGGGAATTACACAAAAATGAGGAGGTTAGTTAAACAGAAATTAAAAGGCACAGTGACTAGAGCCAAATCCCTGAAAGCTGCATGGAAACTTTTTAAAGACACCATAATAGAGGCCCAACTTAAATGTATACCCCAAATTAAAAAACATAGCAAGAGACCTAAAAAAGAGTCACAGTGGCTTAACCACCATGTAAAAGAAGCAGTGAGGGACAAAAAGGTATCTTTTAAGAAGTGGAAGTCCAATCCTAGTGAGATAAATAGAAAGGAACATAAACACTGTCAAATCAAGTGTAAAATGTAATAAGAAAAGCAAAAAAAGATTTTGAGGAACAGCTAGCCAAAAACTCAAAAAGAAATAACAAAATGTTTTTTAAGTACATTAGAAGCAGGAAGCCTGCTAAAAAACCTGTGGGTCCCCTAGATGATCGAGATATAAAAGGAGCAATCAAGGACGATAAAGCCATTGCGGATAAACTACATGATTTCTTTGCTTCAGTCTTCACGGCTGAGGACATTAGGGAGATTTCCAAACCTGCACCGTCCTTTGTGGGTGATGAATCTGAGGAACTGTCCCGGATTGAAGTGTCATTAGAGGAGGTTTTGGAACAAATAGAAAAACTTAATGTTAACAAATCTCCGGGACCGGATGGCATTCATCCAAGGGTTCTAAAAGAACTCAAATGGGAAATTGCTGAACTATCTATGGTTTGTAACCTATCCTTTAAATCGGCTTCCGTACCTAATGACTGTGTAGTAAAAACTAAGTGTGCTTCTTCCCCCATTGCTTAAGCTTGAAACAGCACATATCATTTAGCTGATTGT